CGCCCCGCGTCCTCGCGCCCCGCGCCCGGGCCGGGACCTGCAGTGCCGGACGAGTTGCGCGGAGTCGGAGCCGCGGGAAGGCCGGGGGGTGAGAGTGGATTCGACAGATTTTCTCCGCGCACCTTTCTGGTTTTTCCGTCGGACCCAGTTGGCCAGCGCCACTCACTAGTTGGATCAAACTTTAACCCAAGTCCTCCTACCCCGATCCTGTGGAGGTGCCACCGCGTCCCGACACTTTCCGGCCCCACGGCACACACCCTTTTTGCTTTTGGGTTTATTTTAAATCACGTAAGCTGTCGTGAGTAGATTTATGGTTTCTGTACACCAGACACTCTAATCACCCCGACACCCAACCCTTCCATCCAAAGCCAACGATAAAATACAGCCCGTTTTGGCAGCGGAACCGCGCCGGGGAGATGGCGGGGCGATTTTGAAGAGGAGAGTGTGGAGGGACGGGAGGCGGCGGCCGAAAAAGGCCGGACTCGAGCCGGGCCCTCTGCGGAAACCCCAGGGTCGCCCGCCGCCCCGGCCCCGGCGCGCACCGAGGAGGGGCCCGCCGGCGGGCGCGCTCTCCTCGGCCCCTGGCCCAGCTCCTGCGGCCAACAAGCGGGGTCGCGCCGACTTTTACAGAGTAAAAATGACGGTATCAGACAGACCGGGGATGGCCAAACAATCTGTTAGTAATTTAGCGGGATGGGAATTTCCTTTCTCGGGCCTGCCAGTGGAAGCGCTTTTCCAAATTTCCGTAGCGGGGGAAGCCTGCGATTTTACATAATGACTTCAGCGTGCAAGCCTTTCTCTGCACCCCTCCGCCGCCATCCACACCGCAGCCCCTCACTAAGCCACGGCGTGGCTCTCCCTGGACTCCCGCGTGGACCCCGGCGTCGGGTCCGGGCGGTTCGCCCTTCTCCCCGCGCGCGCCCCTTCCCTTGGGCCATTGCTCCCGCCAGCCCGCCGTCCCCACGCGCGCCTCCTGAGCCGGTTTTCTCCCTGATGCACCTCTGCCCGCCCTTCGTGCCCCTGCACCCGGTCTTGTGCGCCTCCGCCCGCCCCCGAGGACCTGAGCCCCCAGCCGGGCCGGCGCGCGGCGGCCGCGGTCGCGGGGCCCTCGGTCTGCAGCGAGCCTTCGAGCCCTCGAGGCGCGGTGAACAGCACGCGCCTCTTCTCCCTGGGGCAGACCGGGCCCGAGGCCTGGGGAGAGTAGTCAGAGCTGCCCTCTACAGCCGGCCTGCAGGCCAGCTTCTGCTTGAATTGAAGGAAATCCCTTTTCGTCTCCTGGCGAAGCTTCTCAAGCTCTTTAAACATGTAAGACTCTTCCCTAGTTTTCAGTCCGAAATGCTTCGGGATCATGGACATGTTGGCAAATTGGACCTGGAAGATACAGTAGATATATTTGTTGTTGATAAATAAGATTCCGGCTCAGCAAAGCTCCTCATGATAGAGCCTTGCTGTGCTGCCTGAGGCACAAGTGGGTAAAATCAGTAAATAATTTTAGGGCTGGGGCTATAGCTCGTTGGCACAGGGCCTGCACGGCAAGCACAAGGTCATGAACTTTCCCGGTACCAAGAAAAAAAAAACAATTTATATCTGTCTACTGACCTTTTCACATAAATCATGAAAGCCGTCCAAATCAGTAATCACCCCCACCACTGGGAGATTTGCAAGCCCATATTGGATTTACTTTAACATTTCTTCAGAGTATAATGTGTCCCACTCTCAGGCAAGAATGACCTCACTAGGCATAACCGCCGAAAACAGGCAGGGGCAGGGAAAATCCAAAGTAGCCCTGATAGGATACAAGGTCAACACACAAAAATCAATAGTGTTTGTGTACACCAACAATGAACTCCATGAGAAGAAAATTATAAACACAGTACCATTCACAGTAGCTCTGAGGAAAATGAAATATCTAGGGATTAACTAAGGAAGTGAAAGACCTGTATAGAGAAAAACTACAGTCGTTCAAAAAAAAGAGATTGAAGAGGACATCAGAAAATGCAAAAATGTCCCATTACTGGATAGGCAGAAGCAATGTTGTCAAAATGGCCGTATCTCCTAAACTCTTACAACAGACGCAGTGCAGTCCCAAACACACTTTCTAGGCCTTTACGGGTCTAGAAAAAACATACTTCATAGATCTAGAAAAAACAGTCCTAAAACTCATATGGAACCAGAAGAGACACAAAAAAGCAAAAGCAAATTGGGGCAACAAGAGCGAAGCAGGAGGCCAGTAATACCTGAGTTCAAGTTTGTATTACAAAACAGTAGTAACAAAGACAGCATAGCCCTGGAACAAAATCAGATCTGTGGATCAATGGAACAGAATAAAGGATACAAGAACATCCCCAGATACAGTCAGGCAAAAAGCATGTGTTGGAGGAAAGAAAATATGCAACAAGTGATGCTGAGAAAACTGGTTATCTCTTTGCAGAAGATTGAAACAAAACCCTTACCTTTCACCATATACTAAATTGAAAACAAAATGGATTAAAGATCTAAACATTAAACTGGAAGATAAAATAGGTAAAACATTTGAAGACAGGGCTAGGAAAGGATTTTCTAAACAGAACCTCAGTTGTACATGAAACAATAGCAAGAATCAACAAATGGGATTATATTAGACTCAAAATCTGTACAGCGAAATAATCAATCAGCAGAGTGAAGAGACAACTTGTAAAATGGGGGGAAATTGCCAGCTAAAGAAATCAAAATATTAAACCACCTTAAATTAAAGAGCCAGTCAAGAAATGGACAAAAGAAATGAACAGACACTTCACAGAGGAAGAAATACAAATGCTCAACAAATATATGACAAAATGTTCAACATCTCTGGTCAATAGAGAAATGTAAATTAAAACTACACTAAGATTCTGTCTTACTCCAGAAAGAATGACAGTCATTAAGAAATCAAACAATAACAAATGCTGGCGTGGCTGTGGTATAAAAGGAACTCACCTTCATTGCTGGTGAGAATGTAAACTAGTACAACCATTATGAAAATCAGTGTGCAGGTTTCTTAAAGAAATGAAATTAGAAATTCCATATGACCCAGCTATTCCTCTGGTAGGTATTTTCCCTAAAGAGCTTGAGATACACTACAGCAGTACATGCATACCAGTGTTTATACAGCGTGATTCATAATAGCTAAATCCTGGAAACAGCCTGTATGTCCATCAACAGATGATCAGATAAAGAAAGTGTGGTTCCTGTATATAAAGGAATACTACTTGGCTATAAAGAATGACAAGAATTATAGGAAAATGGATGCACCTGGAAAATATAGTGTTGAGGAAAACAAACCAGACACAAGCTTAAATGCTATATCTCTCATTTGAGCAAGGCAAATTATTAAAAAGAGAATAATAAAATATGAATAGAAGGGGACAAGGGGGTGGATCTCTTGAAATAAGGAAGTGCTCAAAAGGAACAAGGGTGGGGGTGAAGATAAGGAGAAGGGGAAATAAGTAAAATAAAGATACTCCATGTACAGGAACCTGATAACCTCAATGAATATGAACATTATATACCATACCATGTGCAAATATTAACAATATCTACAAGAATGAAAATCAGCATAGGGGAAGAATTAAAGGAAGGGGAAGATAAAGAGTTAAAAAGAAACAAGCTGTATATGTACATGTACCCACTCCCAAGATGATTATAAGCTGCATGTACTGCAAACATGTACTAATAAAATAAAATCTGTAGAAAGGAGCCCTTCTAACTGAAAACAGAAATCACCAACTGTGGCCTGTAGCCCAGCTCCAGCCCATAAACATGGTTTTCAATTATTCAGACTTTTTCAGAAATACTGATTTCTAGCCAGCCACAAATTTAACTTGGGAGACTTTTTAATTAAAAATCCAGATTTGCAGTTCCAAGGGGCAGGGGACATGGCTCTGGCAATGCAAGGGCCAAATCCCTCCTTTTCTGGCTGGATAAGTAGCTGTTTCCCTGTCCTACTCTCAGGTGTCCCCTTCCCTAAATGTGTTGCCTGAGATACAAAAGCTCGTAAGCTCATAGAAAGGAAGGGATGTGGTCAGCCTCAAGGTAAGCTGTAGCCAAAGTATTAGGCCTGAATGCCAGAGAGTTGTACTTTCTCTGTGAACTGCTGGATACCACTTCAGATCTTTAACAGAAAAGACAGTATCTACACATAACAAGAAATGTAATAAAGCTACATGAATAATTTTTAATTTTATTGAAATAACATAAGAAAAATTCAACTAAATAAACAGTTGATGTTCTTTACTTAGATGGTCAAGTGGTTTCATTGCATCAAGTTTTCTGAAATACTATGCTGGTTTAATGCCAGTACAAAAATCCAGAAATTATGATTTGGAATTTGAAAATTCTGAATTCATTTGAAATAAACAACAAGACAGAGTAGCCAAAATTTGGTGGAATCAAAATGACAGAGCAATCAGACAGTTAAAACTTATACAGAAAGCTGGCTTGATATTTTTTACTAATTTTGCATGCTTATATCTGGTAATCTGAAAAACTAATGTGAAGACAATAATATGCAATGTGCAATATAACAACCATTGGTGAATTCCTACCATCTTGTCTTGTAAAACTCTGTATCGTTTTTAATGCTTTTTTATTTTTATTTTCTTTAATGGTTTGATCAATCTTGCATTCTTTTTTTTTTTTTTTTTTTTTTTTTTTTTTTTTTTTTTTGGTTTTTCTCCGGTACCGGGAACCAAACTCACGACCTTGCGCTTGCCAGGCAGGCGCTTTTTGCCGCTGAGCTAAATCCCCAGCCCCCAAATCTTGCATTCTTACATCTAGCAATCTGAGCAACTTCATTGAAGATAACAATGTGTAATATAACAACCACTGTTAATTCCTATCATTTTGTTCGGAAAGCCTGTATCATTTTTATTGTTTTTGCTTTGTTTTGTTTTTGTCTATGTTGGTATTCTGCTATTGTTCTTTTCTATTACTATTCTCTTTAAAATAAAAAATATCTTTTAATACAATGGAGTACTACTCAGCTATAAAGAAGGATAAACTCGAGACATTTCTAGGTAAATGGATGCAACTTGAGATCATACTCATAAGTGAAATAGGTCAGACTCACATGTGTAAACATCATATTGTCTCCCTGATGCAAGGAACTGAAAAAGTAAATAAGGACCAAAATGTACAATGGATATTGTGAAATGGGAAGAAATTATTCAAAAGGAAAGAGAAATTAGGTTGGGGGGGACAGGGGGATGAAGGGAAAAGGAAAAAATATAAGATAGTTATACCACTAATTTCTCTTTAGAAAAGAGAATGTTAGAAAAGTTTGTGCTAATATCAACTGGAGAATTTTCTATGTCCATATTTTGTATTCTGAGTAACTACTTTGAAGATAACAATGTGCAGTGTACTAACTATTGTTATTCCCCTATCGTTTTGTTAAGGAATTTTGTTCAATTTTTTCCATAAAATAAAATTTTAAAAATGTAAACAAAGCTTTTGTAAATAAGGAAAAGAAGAAGGGTTGAAGGAAGGGGAGGGGAATGGGAAAAAAGAATAATGAATATATATCATGTACAGGTACAAATTCCCTATAATGAATGTGATCATTATGCATATCTAAAATGTACCAATAAACTTAATTAAAAACAGTAGGAAATTAATTGATTTAATTTATTAATCAATTAAGTTAAACTGCAAGAAATTAATTAATTTTATAATTAATTTTACAAATGCAGTCAGAATTGCAAATTAAATTAGTGCAAGTACAAAACTTCAACAGAACGCACTTCATTATTCTGGCCAGAGGAATAAGGGAATGAAGTCCAGGCAACAGCAATCATTGAGAAGGGAAAGAGAAATTCCAGAACAGAGAGAGAGGAAAATATTCTCCAATTCTGGGCCCTAAACCTCACCCAACTCTCAGGCTGACCTTTGAACTACATATGTGTGGGATAAATTCAAAGCAGCACAGAAAGGCTGAAAGAGCTGAAATGAGAATTAGCTGAACTGAATCACCAGCCACAGAGAGTGAAATCAACCTCACAGTGAGTGTCTAACCTGTCGCACCACCTGCTAAACGAAAAATGCCAACACTCTCTGGAGGGGACATAACAGGAGCCATGGCATACACAACAAAAATTCACAGTGTCTATAATTTAACAAAAAAAAAAAAAAAAAAAAACTGGCAGAAAGAAATAAGAAAATCTGCCCCATTCTCAAAGCCGGTCCAGAGATGACCCAGATATTGAAATTATTAGACAAGGATTTTAAAGCAGCTATTATAACTGTGTTCAGTGAAGTAAAGGAAAATATGCTAAAAGTAAATACGAAAATATTAATGGAGAAATAAAAATTTACTAATACAAATTTTATACCTGAAAAAATGTAATATTTTCAGCAACAATTTGGCTAGCAAAATGAGATGCCAGAGAAAAGAATGAACTGGAAGATAAATCAATAAAAAGTACATAATATAAGAAGAAAGAGAAAAAACAGAGCATCAAATCTCCATAGAGACAACAGCAATATCCCACTCCTGTAGGATAACTGATAGCCCAAAAGGAGAAGACAGAATGGAGCAAAAAAATATTTCTTTGGAAAAAAATGATACCGGAGAACCTCATAAACTTGACATAAATTCATAGAGTTAAGAAATGAGTGAACCCCAAGTGAGATAAATTGAAATAAAAGCTCCAAGTAAGTTTTGGAAAAACCAAAGGCACAGATAAAATCTGAAAGCAGAAAGAGAGAAACAATGCATTATTTAGAGGGAAACAACAATTGAAACTAGCATGAAATTCTAATTGGATAGCACTTAAAGCAGAAGACAGTGAAAAAAAGATTTGCAGCATACTAGAAGACAAAAAAAAATTGTCAACCCTGAATTCTGCACCCAGAGAGAGCATGTATATCTTTTCTATATCTAGCATTCTGTTTCTTGCATCTACAGCATCTCCTTTTTGAAAATGAAGGCAAAGGGCTAAGGATCTGCCTTGTAGTAGATGGTTTGCTAGCATGTACAAGGACATGGGTTTGATCCTCAGCACGAGGCAAGGCAGGGGACATTATAAAGGCAAAATGAAGATATAGTCAGATAAAGGAAAACTATGAGAATTACTTACCAGCCAAGGAGAACTACGCGAAACACTAAACGAACTCTTCAGTTAAAGAGAAATTATACCAGAAAGGAAACTAAATTCTCAAGAATTGAATGAAGAGAAAGCAAGTGCAAAAAGGTCATTTTCCCCTTAAGTTTTTAACCTTAAAGTATAAAAAAATTATAACATTATAGAGTGTGTAAGGAGATGTAACGTATATGATGCCAAAAAGCAAAAGATTGGTATGGAGTGCATGAGAGAACCACATGGCTGTCAAGTTGCTCCATTTTTTGTGAAGTACATCAGGGTTAATTTTAAACTAAAATATTAAGGTTGTATGTTGTAATTCCTAGAGAAACAATGTTATAATTGTTTACAAAGTAATGCAGAGAACAAAGAGATATAGCTATAAAAAGCCAACAGATAACAAAATGGAAGACAAAATATTAAATATTTAAAAATATTTTAGACAATAATGAAAGACAACGTATCAGAATATGTAGTGCGCAATAAGCACCAATTAGAAGAAAACTGGTAGCTTATATGCTTAAAACAAAAAGAGGCAAAGTATGAAATCAATAACCTTAAGAATCTGTTTTACAGCTCTGGGGATGTGCCTCAGAGGCAGAGAGTTCTTGCCTGGCCTGCACAAGGCACGACCAAAAAAAAAAAAAATCTGGCTTACAAAAAGAGCAAATATGTTCAAAGCAAACAGAAGGAAGGTAATAAAAAGTATAAAGACATAAATCAATTAAATAGAAAGCAGAAAACTGAGAAAATTAACAAAGACAAGAGCTGGTGCTTTAAAAAAATATATCAAAAAAAACTGAACCACCACCCTCATCCAGACTATTTATGAGATAACAAAACTCTCCAGTATCAAGACTGAGAGGAAGTTTTTACTACAGAACCTAAAGACATTAAAGGATGAATAACAATAGAACCCTATGCCAATATGTCTAGTAATTTAGATCAGATAAGCAAATCTCTGAAAGGTGCCACTTACCAGAATTAGAATAAGAAAATCTGACTATGCCTATGAAAATTTTATTTATTATTAAAATCTTACCACAGGATATCCAGGTGCAGATAATTCTCTCAAATATTGTAGAAAGAAATGGCACCAGTCTTATACAGATGTTTTCAGAAAATAGAGAAGAAAGATGCACTCATTTTATGAAATCCCTATAATCCTAATACCAAACCTGACAAAGACATTTAAAAAGAAAAAGAAAGAAAGAAAATCAGAGGGATGTATCTCAGTTGTAGAGTACATGCCTAGCATGTACAAGATCCTAGGTTCAATCCCCAGCAACACAAAAAAATCAATTAAAATTTAAATTAAAAATAGACAAAATTATATACCAATATCGCTTATGAGCATGGATGCAAAAAAGCTTAAGAGAATATTGACAAATTAAATCTAAACCTCTACACTTTTTAAAGTAATAATGTATTCTGACTTAATATGGTTTGATTTAGCTCTACTTAATTATATTGATTTGAATATCACTGTAATTAGCAATAGTAACACAGTGGAGGAGAAAAATTATCACTTCAATAGATAGTGGAAAAGCATTTGATAAGATTTAGCACCCATTCATGATAAAAAATAAATAAATAACTCTGAGCAAACAATGAATCATGAAGAGAACATCCTCATTACGATTAAGGGAATCTCCCCCACATATTTACAACATTATATTTATGCTTTCCCCTTAAAATTGGAAACCAGACAAAAATGCCTCAGTCTTACCACGTCTATTCAACATTGTTCTGGGGGCCCTGGCCACACAATATGACAAGGAAAAGAAATAAAAGGAATAGAGATTACAGAGGAAATGTAAAAGTGTCCCCATTTACAGGTGACATGATTTTTAGGTTAAAAACCTTGAAGAACCTACAAAACAGACCCTGGTACTAAGAAATAAATAGTGCAAGCCTGTACAATACAAAGTTGCCCAATAAACAAAATCAATTGCAATTTTATATCCTAATAGCAAAGGTTGGAATATTTTAAAAGTACACTGGTAACAGAAATTTAAAGACTGACATAAATGGAGACATACCATATCCATGGATTGGGAGACTCAATATTACTAACATGGTAATTCTCTCCAAATGGATCTAAAGAGTCAGTGCAATCCCGATCAAAATGCAGGAGGATTTATAAGATAGAAATTAGAAACTGATTGTAAAATGCATGCAGACTAAGATCACCAAAGTAACTTTTGAAAAAAAAAAAAATCAACACCTTACCCTAACCAAATTCAAAATTTACTATAGTAAGCTACTGTAACCAAGCTTTAAAAGTCTTAGAAAATGCTGAGTATAGGAAGCCAGACGCAAGAGTATGTATCACTGATGGTGAACCTTTTAGAGATGAATGGCCAAACTACAATCCAGAATCCACTTATTTATCACAAACTGCCAACAGCACAGTAAAACCTGAACACTGAGGTTTTAGTTCAGAAAAAAACAGCTCACACATTAACATCTTTTGCCTTTAAAAAAAACGAAGGCCTTCCATAGGTTTGCCACCACGGGTATGCCATATGCTTTTTCAGTGTAAAATTCTAGAAAATGCAACCGATTCTACAGTATCACAGCAAACAGTGGTTGGTTGGAGTAGGAGAATGAGGGCAGCGGTGGGTTGCAAAGGGGGCAGTGCAATGACAGTGCTCAGTATCTTTGCTGCAGTCCTTGTTTCAAACCTGCTAAAGGTCTTTAGAGTGTGTGGCTACGCACTGCACATCGAACAACTACGCACTTGTGCAATTTACTGAACACAAATTATGCCTCTATAAGGGTGCAAATAGGAAAAGAGCAATTTCACATCACACAGGTGAGGCTCGTGTGGGCAACCTAGCAAGACTCTGTCTCAACAACAACAAAAAATTTTAAGGACAAGGCTGCAGATGTAGTTCAGTGATAGAGTGCGGGCCTAGCATTGGTGAGGTGCTTGCCTAGAATGTGTGAGTTCTGGGATTCAATCCCGAGGTCAAAAAAAAAAAAAAAAATCATTTTCTTCAACATTTATATTTGAATGTTTAATAAAAAACTACTGTTCTGCTTTAAACTTCTGTACCGGAAGTTTACAATAGATTCATTGTGACTCAGTGGCCTCCCTGCCAAATAGCACTTGCAGTAAAACCACCGTGCCCTATGCCCGCCAAACCCAGGGAAGTGATCTGCTCTGAAGCTGGGCCAGCTAACCCGTGAGGAAGTAGTCAGGTTTGCTCCAAGCAAGCCACCCTGTGAAAGGGTAGCAGAGGTAGAGAGAACCCCTCCGCTGCGCTTCGTCAGCCTCCTAGCCTCTCCGCTGCCTCCCCTTCCTTGCCGCCCTAATCCCTTACGCTCCTTTCCCCACAGCCTGGTCTGTCGCAATCTCCCTTTCCCTTCCAGCCGGGTTTTCAGCCCCAGCTCCTCTTCAGCTGTGCTCAGCTCATTTTCCCATAGAAGTGAGCCCTGAGCACCGTCCAGCCCCAGAAGCCCAGAAGCCCAGCCCACGCCCGCACCAATGCCTTCTCAACCCCAGCCTGGGCTTCAGCCCCGTTACTGCGGGGCCCAGAACCTGCCTAGTGGATCAGAGGCGGAACAGAGGCTCCCCAAGCATCACCACCTCTCTCCCTACACCGTCGCAAGGAAGTCACTTGCGCCCCAGGCCGGCCTCCTCTCACCTGGCTCCGAGGCCGCCCCTGCGGTGATTCAAGTGGCCTTGCTGCGCCGGGGCGGCCTGCGGGGTATCCAACCTGCCCTTTGACCCGCAAAGGCCTAGCGAGACCCAACGGTTCGCAGGCAAAGAGGGGACGCGCTCGGTCGCCAGGCAACGAGCCTCTCGCCTCCTCCGCCCTAGTTCCAGCGGCACCGCGCCGCCCAGTTCGGAGAATCCGTGAGCTGTGCCGCCCGCCTTGCGCTCTCTGCCTCCTGGAACCGGCTCCATTGCCTCGGACTCGAAGCCTGCACCCTGGCCGAGGGCGGGTTTTCCCCAGGTGGAGAAGACACTGCTCTCAGAGTCTCCTGGACTGAAGCCGCCAGTACTGGCTCCTTGGGCCCAGCTTAACCAATGCCTGCTAAGCACTCTTGAACGAATAATGCTGAACCAGGAGACTTACAACCGTTTGCCTGCCTGTTTTTAAATGAACCTGTCTGCATTGGCAGTGGGTAAAGAGTACATTTCAGGGGCAGGCTTCCATAATGCCCACTGTGAGTGCATCTTGTGGGTGTTGAGGAACCTTGAAATCAAAAGCATGAGATTCAGATTTCTGGAAATTTCACATTTTAACCTTAGGTTCAGCCATATTCAGAATTTCTGATGTGCACCGAAAAAGAAAAAGTAGTAATTTGCTATATCTGTCAAACTGGATGTACACATAATTGATCCAGCAACTTCACTCCTGCAGTTGTGCATGCATGCCTTAGGTAGGAAAAAGATGTGTATTATTCATAGCGGATTTATTATAATAGCTAAAAGCTGGTAACAACCCGAATGTCCACCAAAATTGATTCACAAATTAACTGTGGTATATTGATGAAATGTGTACTGCACATCAAGGAAATGAGCAAAGTTCATCTTTGGGGAGGATCATAGATTAATTACAAATGTAATGCTAGCAGAGAAGTCAGACCCAGAGGGGTACATACTGCATGAGTCCCTTGTATACAGTTCAAATCTAGGCCAGCACAAAGCACTTACCGATGCATGACATACTACAGATAAACACAAAAGTATTAACCATCAAAGTACAGATAATAGACATCTTCAGGGGAAGGTGATGTTGACGGGTGGACAGTACTGCAAGAGTCTTAGGAAGCCAGCAATGTTCCTTTACCTCGCTGGTGGCTATTTGGGTTTTCTCTTTGTGATAAACCATCTGTGGAGGCAGGCACTTAGGTATCTTCAGAGTTTTAGGGGTGACACTTCTGTTCTTTTTTTTTTTTTTTTTTGGTTTTTCTCCGGTACCAGGAACCGAACTCACGACCTTGCGCTTGCCAGGCAGGCGCTTTGCCGCTGAGCTAAATCCCCAGTTCTAAACCAGGCTAGCATACTTAGCTTTGCCTCTTAGAGGAGATACTTCCCTCTGGGTGTCCGCATCTTCCTCTGTGAAATGGAGATAATAATCTTACATTACAAGTTTATTACTCTACTTTCCTCCCAAACATGCGTGTTCACAAGTGGTTGCTCAATGCTCACAAAATGAGAAACATTCTACAGAAAATCAGTCACATTCCACACCTGTGGGTGCTCTGTGGGGGCAGCTTCACTCTAAAGCATGGAAGTAGCCCTCCAGGTGAGGAGTAAATTGCTCTTCTTTCCTAATTAAAATACTGAGCAAAGAGTCAAATGTTTCTGAAGTCACTAAGTGTTCCTGGTACTATCCTGGGCACTGCACAAAAACCAGAACAGGCTGTGTTCCTAAACTAAGAGAAAGTTTAAATTATTGTATCTTTGAAGTACATCTACCATACAGCAAAGAAAAACTTGCATGATAAATAAATACTATTGATTAGTCAAGCACAATGGCAAATATCTCTAATCCCAACTACTCAGGAGGCCGAGGCAGAAGGATCACTTCAGCCCAGGAGTTGGAGGCCAGCCTGGGTAGTATAGGGAAAGCTCCATCTACCTCAGCCAAAATTGTTCACTGATATTTTGTACAATCAAAAAGGGTGTTAAGTATCCATCTTAGAGTACAACCCTTTAGCGAGTACTATTATTGTCTTTATCTTACAAATAAGGCATTGGTGTTGAAAGAGATTTTAAAATGTGAAAGAATTCTGTGAGATCCCCAGCTAATAATCCTGTGCTAGGAACCTGTATTCCAGGTTTATTTTCAAAAAGAAGGAGAGCATAAAGTTGTGAAGGAAGGGAGGAGAAAGAAGGGAAGGGAAAGAAGAGAACAGAGGAAGGAATGAAGGAAGGAAGGAAAGAAGGAAAGCAGGAAGGAAGGAAGGAAGGAAAAAAGAAAGAAAGAAAGAAAGAAGAAAGAAAGAAAGAAAGAAAGAAAGAAAGAAAGAAAGAAAGAAAGAAAGAAAGAAAGAAAGAAAAAGAGAGAGAGAAAGAAGGAAGAAAATGGAGAGGAAGGAGGAGGGGAGGGAGACTGAGTTAGTAATTGATCTAAAGTCATTTCAGATTCACTGTTGGTACTTTAATGCCTTCATATGAAAATATTAATACTTTGGTACCACTTTAAAAAGGAGAACTGGACTTAGAGGAGCAGCATAAAATCGTTCAGGTAGTTATGGAAACACTATGATCACACCTAGTCCTTGCCAGTCTCCAACAACCACCTATACCACAAGTAAAAGGCCCCATGTGATTGTCCAGCTTTCACGCCCCCAGAGTACCTGAGGGAGTACCGTCCAAACACAGCTCTCTGCATAGATTGCAAGTCTCTTCCCAATGAGGCTCTGCCCAAAGTCTTAAATGCGTGGAAAATAGAACAGTAAAGTATGTCCTCATATTAGGTACCATAATAAATTCCAACTGGATGAAAGACTGAATTGTATAAGGAAGACCTGCAAGCACAAAGCCATAAAAGGAAGAGCCTTTAAATAAAAATACTGATTTTTTTAAAAATGCATTAAAAATAACAAAATTATAATACAAATGAAAACCTGGTGAAAATATACAACATTATGTAGAAATGAGATGAAATCTTTAAATGAGAAACAGACAAATGCTCAAAGTTTTAATTAGGCTAAAGAAGGCATGAATGGGCAATTCCTCAGAGAAGAAATATGTCCCCTAGAAATAAATATTTAACTCTACTGATAACTGCAGAAATACAAATTTAAATAGTGTCACAATGTTCACTTACCAAATTACAAAGTTACTAACAGGCGGTTCGTAGGAGTGAGGGAGCAGGATCACTGGTAGATTACTGAGGGAGTCCTGGAACATGGTGAGTGGTAAAATGTCTAAAAAGCCTTAAGCATATGCATGTTTTTGTCTCAGCAATTTCACTTTTATGAACTTTTCCTACATAGAGGTCTGCAAATTTTGAAAATAGTGATATTGAAGCATTGTTTTAATCACTGGAAGGCAGGATTCTTTTCTTAAATGCACATCACCTATTGTATATGGAATTCTACTTGATGGTCACACCTAAATAATGGCACTGCTTAGGACTAGCCAAAACTGAGTTGTTGCCAGGACACAAGCGTGAAAGGAACAGAGCTCTAGATTTAAGGTTTAGCAATAAGAAAGCCAAAGATGTCCACACTTTCAGAAACATACATGACATTTACCATGAGCCCTCGGTCACTGTACCTAGTTCAGGGACCATTTACATTGATATAATTTACCACTAACATAAGTCTCACATTCAGCTCACTGATGGTCAGAAAAAAAAAAAAAAAAAAAAACTCAGATACTATCAATATTAGGTTTTAACATCAGGTACCTTCACAATGATACAAAATGCAAATCAGCAAATTAAAGCGGTGAGTACAAGAAAATAAAGTCCCAAGTTTGCTGCTCCCCTAGACCCAGAGGCAGCCCTGTCTACAGAAAACAGCTACAGGACCGGGGATATAGCTCAGTGGCATAAGCGCTTGTCTGGCAAGCCTGAGGTCATGGGTTCGATTCCCGGTACCAAAAAAATAAAGAAAGAAAGAAAGAAAGAAAGAAAGAAAGAAAGAAAGAAAGAAAGAAAGAAAGAAAGAAAGAAAAGAGCTACTATACAAGCCCTGGGGTGTTCTGTCTGCACCCCAAGATAGTGATGGGAAATGAGAGAGCCCTTTCATGAGTTAGCCTGTGAAGGCACCACCGGAAATAACCCAGGACTTTACAGCTCTTCCACGAGTCTCCAGTCCTCATCCCCCCAGGTCCCCAGAGAAAACACAGCATGCTCTAAAAGGTTCACAGGAAGAACAAAAAAAAAAAAAAGGTGGAGGAGAAGAAGAGAGTGGAGGAGGAGAAAGAAGAGAAGAGAGAACTGGGAGCGAGGAGCAGAAAGGGGAGGCGGTAGAAGAAAAGGGATTTGAAGGAAGTATTTTCACGAGTGTGGGTGGAGTTAAAGGGAACTACAAGACATCAAGGGTTCCCCAAAGGCTAACAACTCCAGGGGGGTATTACTCTCTTAATCTAGAGGGGCAATGGAAAAGGAGGGGCTCGGGGAGTCTAGGAGGGCCAGCACTGTGGAAGAGGGGCTCCTGCTAGTGACTGTAAACAGAGAGAGAGAATGCAGCGACAAAGCCACAGAGGTTGAGAGAGAAAGCAGGAGGAATAAGTACTCTTACCACTCACTGCCTTCCTAAGCTTCATCCCTGCACCATTGCTGTGCATGGCCAAACGCCACTGGAAGCCCAAAGGTAAAGAAAACTGGGCAACATGGCCCTTAAATGTCAGCCTCCCGGGGTCAAGAGTAGCTTATAGGAGAAAGCTAGAGAGAACAAGAGAATAACCAGCAGTGTCTCCCACCAAACATTACCCAAACAGCTCTAAAACCACAGAAACTAAAGCACTGAGGCAGTGCCCCTGACTCACGGTCCTGCCCTAATGGTGACTACCTCCAGCCTTTCCAGGCACCCTACCTACACCACCTGCCCCATAGTGAGCTGATGAGCAGATGCCAGACTTCTGGTCTGATGCCTAAACTCTGACATGGTTCTGATATCTAAGCTTAGGGAGTTCAGTAATAGACCCTTGGGAAGCCAGCCCAGGAGTATAGTGCCCGGCCTGATCTGGGGGTTCTTAAGGTCAGAGAAAAATAGCAAGCACTGGGCTGAGGATACAGCGCAATGTTAGGGTGCTTGCCTAGCATGTTAAGGCACTGTGCCCAGTTCTCCACAACACACACACACACACACACACACACACACACACACAGAATGGGGGTGGGGCAGAGAGACTGAAAGACTAAGCAGAAAGAAATTCTGGAGTAAAACCGCCCACTGGGAAAGAAAAGATACAAATAACACTGAAAAGCCTGGTCCAAAGCAGGTGTACTTGGCTGAAAATTAAAGATTTATTTTTCTTAGAGATAGAAGCTGCTGTTTAGCATTCCAGTTACACTTTACACCTCCAAAGGGCTTTGTTTAAGAAATACCCTAGAAATTTTGCTGAGTTTGAGGTCAAAACCATTCCTTTCCTAAAGGTAGGTATGTAAGACCATTGTAGGAGCTTTGTAGCCTAAACATTGAGCTTAGAGAACCCATGCCCAGTTTATGCTTAGAAAAACTAACAGCTCTCCCTAAGTAAGCTGTAAAAACAGAAGCTGCATTTAGCCAGAGATCACTGTCTGGGACCTCTGTGTAGCAGCCCACTTTCTCTGTGTTCACCACCCCCAATACCAATCCAAGGAAAATTAATATGCTTTGAAGCTCTGTTGTTTTTTTGTTCTCCAGTGAAGGAAATATTTTACCCACCTGGATTCTGATTACTTAGTGAAGCAAAATTTAAAACTTAGTAGAGCTTGTACATACAACCCTCTTAGCCCATTCAAGTTCTGTCTGAAATTTCCTTTTTTTTTTTTTTTTCTCGTATCAGGAATCGAACTCACGATGTTGCACTTGCCAGGCAGGCCCTATGCCACTGAGCTAAATCCCCAGGCCCCTGTCTGAAATTTTCAAGACAAGAAATTTCCACCCAAAGCTAAACTCCAGCCCTTCCTTATCTTCTCAGCAGAAGGGGTTAATCAATTCATGAATCTTCGTCTCAGCAGATAGATCTATATCTAGGGAAACCTTTTTGTGATTTGGTCTTTTCATACAGTATGTTTGTCTTAATTAAGCTTTGGCACCTCACTAAGCTTCCTTTCACATGCAAAGTAATATTTAAGGTCTTTAATATTTGAAGGATCCACCATAAGCCCAGCATGCTTGCTTCATTTCAGATGGACTTGCATTCCCAGGAAGAAACTTTTGGGGGGAATTGAAATCAAATAAATCTCAAAGACAGCAACTCAATCTTTCTTGTTATAATAACATCTTAGGTTTTTAGGATTTGAGAAAATGTCTAGGTGATGCTTCTCCAAATGAGTAGTAAATGGCTCCTTCTAATCCTGTCCGTGAGGAAGGAAGTAGAGGGAGGAGAACGTAGTCAAAATCAAGGGCATTTGTATCTCAATTCTCCCCACAACTTCCGGTGCTGAAGGTTTGAGTAGCATCTCAGGGGCCCAGACTCAGCTTCCTTTTCTGCCTCCCTCTTCTTTTCCTTCTCCTGCAGGGGTGCATCTTGGGTCCCGGACACAACCCAGGTTTTTCTGATGTTCCCATAGCACAGGTAGAGTGGAGAGAGGCATGCATGCTCAAGACCCCCAAAGACTGCAGATGGAGCCACTGAAGTCAGACAACCATTTCAGATCCCAACCGAGCGCTGGGCAGGCTCTTCAGGCGAGATTGTCCTTCCTGTCATACAGGGGCTGGGAGGAGGATAATTGTCCTGCTGGCTTGGGCAGATTCTGTGCAGCCCAAACAGATCTCTACTCCCTTGAGTCTCTTTCCCTCAGAGGAGCTTTAGGGGCCCTGCTGTAGTCTCTGGATCCCCCAATGGAAGTACTTTTCCTCTGTCGTCCATCAGGGACTCTACTGAGAACAGCCTCACCCCTTGAGAATATAGGGAGGGAAATTATTGGCAGAATCCAAAGGTCACTGAGACCCAGGCCCCACTGGCTGCCCACTCTCTATTCCAGAGCTCCTTCCACCTCAGTGACTGTAGCCAGAGGCACTCCTACCTCCAGGGAGCCAGGTTGGAGACCCCTGGCATAAAACTTGAAAAGGGAAAGGGTGGCACATCTGGATTCAGATCCATCTTTACCTGCCAGTGTCCCAGCGTCCGGCATTGCCCAGGTTCCCAGAACTCTGGGAAGGTCCTTTATTTGTGCTACCATTTAATGTGTACTTACTGTGCTCTCACCTGGTATGGGGTGAGTTCTAATATGCCTGCTGTATAGCTAGACAGAAGAATCCAGATAGGAATCCAGGTCTAATTCCGAACCCAGGACTTACTATCATGCTCCTTGTCTTTGCTTACTGTGTTGAGCCTGTCCTCACTGGAGTCTGTCTGAGGTAGTCTCCGAGACCCTCAGCCTCAGACATCAGGGGCCTGGTCAGGGCCAGGCACCAGCCCTGGCCAGAGAAGTATGTGAACACTGGACGGAAGCCTTGCTGGGGAGGCTTTTCCTGGACGTGCACATTAGAACACGTTCTGTGTCTTGCTCTAGTGTCTTTGGAAATATGAAGTGAAAAGCAGGAAGATTTTTGCCCATAACCTACCACAAAAGAAGAGAAACCCTCATGATGTGATTGCTCCAAATGTCTTTTCTTGGGGTAGAGACTCTGCCACCTCAAGGAGCTGACCCTTCCCCATAACAGTTTCTGTCCTAGGTTCACACCGGTCCTCACTGCAGTGCGCAAGGAAGCTGTACGGCATAAAATGCTTTGCGTCCTGCAGACTGGGAGTTAATCAATGCCAGGTACAGGGACATCAGGTCTGACGCTGTCGCACAGCCACTCTGGCAGGTTTGTTCCTACCACTGACTCTGGGCTTTGAGCCAAGCTCATCATCTGGTGAACGGAGGATGAAAGTGCGGCTCTGCCAGCAATTTTGATTCAAGTTCAGTAGCATTAGGACCAAACTCCTGACTGTGCTCCCCACACCCCAACTCTAAGCCCAGCAGATATCACCACACATCCTCTCTTGCGCTGGCTTCCTCACTCTCTCCTCTCTGGGGACAGTGGCCCGGTTATTCCCAGTCCAGCACCTGCAGGAGTGTTAGACGCTCTAGTGTACACTAACCTTCAACCCCAGCTCTGCACTTTATTTATTAAACCCACTTCTCGTGGAGGGAGGTCTGCAGGGGAAGGGTCATGAGGCGGTCAGACAGGACTAGCCATTCACAACTGAAGGTGCTTCTGCCAGGTAGAGGCCAGTGGAGTGAGTAGGATCCATGCACAGATTGCAGCGTCCAAAGTATTTGAAAGAAAACAGATCTATACCACAGCCATTGGAATCCTGAGTCTCCAAGGTGAGGAAGGCTGGACCTGAATTCAAAACCCCTCTTCTGGACAGTAGTGACCAAGTCCAGTTGCGGCATAGCCGCTGGAAGAGAAGGTGTCTGAGACCAGAGGTTGTGGCCCCCACTGGGGACAGCAGCGGACTAGGAGACAGCCAGGACAACAGACAGACGGAGGTGCGCAGCCACTGGTGCAGCCCGTGGTGTCCCAAGTGACAACAGCCCAGAAGAGCAGGCAGAGGCATTTCCTTTCAAAAGGACAGCCTCCCCAAATCCTTGCTTTCACTGGGAATGAAATTTTAGGAGAAATACTCAGTCAGAAAACTGAAACCAGGCGTATGCGGTAATGCCTTGCAAAAACACAACAGGTTCCAAGAGGGATTGATGGTCCTCTAAGAAAATCATTATATTACACAGGGAAGGTGTATAGAATAAAATGCTTTGTATCCTACAGACTGGGAGGCAATCACTGCCTGGTCATTTCCAGCGCACTGCCCCTTGCCCTCGTCCCCGCAGAACCTGCACTCGGGAGGACCACACTTGTGACTGTCCCTAAGCAAACTCACCCTTCCTGGGCCAGGCTTAGGGCCCCAGGCGCCCCCCAGTGCTGGGGCTGGAATGCAGCGCGTGGCAAACCAGGCTTGCAACCTCGCCCTAGCTCTTTTGCAAGGCTTTTCCCGCTCACTGCGCAGGCTGGGCTTTATTTGTGTGCCAATTTAAACCTATTATTTAAACATGGACGTTTCTTTTACAGCACTAGGTGAAATGCTTTGCTTGATGGAAAATTGATGGGCTTCTTTAACTTTTAATCAATAGCTGCGATTGATAGGTGTGACAGCTGCCTTTTCAGAGTAAGGAAAAATGGAATATTTGCCTTGGGTCACACACTGACCACCCTATATAGGCAAGGCGTGGCTGGTGATTCCACCCTTGTCCAGATACCTGGGGAGGGCTAGTTCCTGGTTTAATAATGTTACCTGGTGGCTTTGGTTAAAATCAAGCATCCATAACACAGGAAGTGCCAGGCTAAAAGGACTGGAGAATCCAGGGTCCTAGGCTCAGACAGGTGCCTGTTCTGCCAGAAATCTGTCCCTCCATTCCTTCAATCCATCAGTTGGGCTATTCACTCCACAAGCCCTCTGTTTTCACAGTGCACCAGACTAAAGTCCTCTCCCTTGGAAACTTTAGAGGCAGCAGATGTGTTTTATTTGTTTATTTTGTTTTTTTGTGGAGTGAGGGTCGATCCTGGGGCCTGCACATTGAGGTACATCCCAGGCACTTTTCTAAACTATATTTTTTCTTTTGTGTTGTTTTTATCTTGAGACAGGATTTTACTAAATCACTAAGTCGCCCAGGCTGGACTAAAATTTGTGATCTTCCTGTCTCAGCCTCCTAGAGTGCTGGCAGGATATGGTTCAGGATTCAAGAATTTGAAGCCAGCCTGGCCAGTCTCTGAGTTAGGATAGTTAGTTGGTCAATGGATTCAACAAATCTTTATTGAAAGTCTGCTTCACTCCCAGGCTGTGCTCTAAGGCAGGAATCCCAGCAGAGACCTGGGAGGGGGAAAAATGACAAAGGAATTTCGTTTGCTATAGGGGAGGGATAAGAACCCATCCTGAACCTAGAACAGAAAGTAAACCTCAGGTCTGCAAATTCTCACCAGGAACCCAGAGAGCTACTCTGTTCTGGCCACGACAGGTAACATCCAGTGGTGGCCCTGAGTATCCTTACTTTGACCCACATATAATAGGCAACCAGAGCCAGAGCATTCAGAAAGTAGCTGAAGTTTCTGCAAATTTCCCTAGTATCCTAGCAAAGCAAGTGTCACCAAGGGGCCCCTTCACAGTGACTCTGTTAGAAGCCAACTCACTGCAAAGTGAGCGCAGCACTAGTTGTGCTCTGTGGCTCACAGGACAAAGGAAGTTTTAAAATTACAAATGCACCACCTTTAGAGCAAAACTTTGTCTCGATGTTTGCTCTGGAATAAGTGTTGAAAGTCCTCAAAGCAGCCACCCAAACAGTGCCCTTCCAATCAAATTTTAATCTCAGACTGTGAGTGTGGCCTCCCTCTCCTCCTGTCAGTAAATTAGTCATTGTATTAGTACAAAGCACAATTTCAAAATTAGGGGGGAAGATTAAGAGACTAATATAATAAAATTATTGCCTAGAATGCATTTTAGGGTTTATTTTTCCCGTGCAGGGTGTGATGTATAGGATTGATTGTCACAAAAGCATCTGTTAAATGGAACTATGTAAATTTGAGGGTAACCACATTTGGTTAGCCAAAGTTAAGGCACTAGGGGTGACCGTGGGAAGCTCCTCTTCTGGGGAGGGAGAGAGGGAGGCAGCTCCGATGGACTGGAGAGGATGACCCAGGAGAAGAAAACTGAACACTTCTCTACGATCAGGAAAGATTTAGGTTTAAGCTGCTGGCCTGGAAGCAAGAGATGAACGTAGACTTTTCCAAAGCCCTGGGCTTCCCTCACTGCTCCGCATGAGCGCGGCTTCTGCCTTGGGAAGGAGTTGGGGGTCTTGATCGACCCTCGCCAAGGGGCTGGGCTTCTTGCCTCCTCCTCCTTCTCGCCTTGATCCTGAACAGGTCACGCACATCTGAGCAGCGGGTGGGAAACGCTGCGATCTCAAAGCGCCTGCCCACTCTGTGACACACAGTAGGACCTCAAGTGCTCCTGGTCTCTTTCTGTCCTAACTCTGACCTAAGTGGTGTCGTGTCTCCCGGAACTTTCCAACTCAGCGTGAAGCGTGCACTTCCAGTTCCTCCGCAGAACCCTAACTCTAGCAGTTCTGAGGTACGGGAAAAGCCAAAGGAGAGCTCGGGCACTGCGGAGGGAGTCTGCGCTCCCCAGGAGCAGGGCAGCTGCGGCTGACCGGTGTGCATAAAGCAGTTGGTAATTGGGGCACACCACCCAGCGACGTGATGCCGCCGCGGGGACACATGTCCGCCCCAAGTCCGCTTCCCGGCCTCAAGGGAGGGAGGGGGCCTGTTGGACTGTTGGACACTCAGTTTTTCCTTCCAAGACTTTGATTGCCCAAGAGGGCAACCGGCCCTTCCCAACATTTACCATTTGAATACATGAAAATGTGAGTTGATTTTGGCAAGGGAAGCTCGGTCACGGCCAGAGGGAAGGTTCTGTCGCCCGAGGGTGAGGCCAGGTGGGGAGCAGCTCCGGCTCTGACATCCGGCTGCGGGCGGGCCGGGTCCCGGGACAGGGTTTTAAACCCGGCAGCGACTCCAGAAGTAGAAAAAGAAGCAAATCCAATGACTGTTTTTGTTTTCAATAAAATAAGCGAAAGCCCCGGTTGTGTGTATGTGCTGGAAACACACACACGAACACACACGCACTGCCAAGGGTGCCTTCAGAACAGTGGAGGATTCCGCAGAGAACTGGCCAGACCAGGCAGGTCAGCGGGCTCCAGGGCCCCTACCCAGGGGAGTTGGACGCTTGTGAGTTGTGAGTTGTGAAGCCCCTCATTAAGGACTTGGTGGAAAGGGTAGGGAGGGCAGAATGAGGGTGAAAGGACCAGGGAGCGGCAGCGAGGAGAGAGAAGCTCGCAGTGGTCCGGCAGCAATGGGCCCCACGGGCCGGGACCCCGCGCCCCCGCGCACGCAGGCCCCTTCCCCTCCCTGGCGCATACTCGGGCGGCGAGGGCCGGGCACACTCAACGCTGGCAGAAGCTTACAGCTCCCGGCCTTCCGCGCCTGAGCTGAGCCAAGGCCCAGTCGGGGTCGGCTTTGAACCGTGTTAAAGACCACAGGTCTTAGTTTCACTGCGTCTGATTCTTTCCTGCAGGAGTAGGATTTAAGCTTCTTATCTGCGTGGGGGGTGGGGGCCGCGGAGGAACTCGGACCACCCGGCGCCTAGCTTGACTGGGCCCACCCAGGCCTTGACACGATCGCAGGCCCGACGGGGAAAGGTCGGCGGGGGAAAGGGCGGGCGGAGAGGTAAGCCCTCCGAGAACTCCGGGGCCACCGCAGAGGTCTGACGCCCCAGGCCCTTCTCCTGCCTACCATCCCGTTAAACTGGCTCCTGCGCCCCAACAGGCCACCAGCCTGTGGCCTTTCCTTCTGTCTGTCTTCGTCCTGCGTTCTGCTTCTCCTTTCCTTGGGAATATTTGCAGAAAGGGATCCTGAACAAGTCACGCTGAGAAGGGTAAGCTGAGGCAGGCGAGTTTCATCACTGGACCCTATGCCGCCCCTCCTACAGCCGGACTTCCCAGGGAGCAGGCCCCAGGGCACAGAAGGAGCTGCTTCCGGGAAGGGCGGAGCCGTTTCCTCTGTCCCAGCCCCAGGAGTCCCACTGCACGCCACGGTCAGATCGTCCTGGTCGCTCCACAGGAGAAGCCCGCCCTCCCAGCTACCTAGGCCGCTCCGGCTACCGCAGACCGGCAGACCTGTCCTCACCCAGGCAGGTCTGGCTCAAGACGCCCCAGGAACTGCCACGTGGCTGCTTTCGTGGCTCCCCGCCCTGAGTCCACCCACCCTCCCTCCCAGAGTCGAAGACAGGCTTAATGCCCCTAAAAGCGCAGCGCAGTCTTTGCGAAGCAGTCGCGTCAGGGCATATTTGGGGGAAGAGGCTGCAAATGAGCAGGATGAGGCAGCTGTCCACGATACCTGGCTGCTAACTGGCCCGCAGCCCTGAAAAAGCAGCACTGATTTATGTAAGCGCCTGTGTTTCCCTCGTCAAAGACTCTGCTGATTCACTTCGAAACCTCAGGGAAACTAGCCGGCATTTGTTACATTAAAACCTCACCTCCCGAATTTTAGGTGCCAAGGAATTCCACTACTGAGGTGGACAGAGACCGGAAGCTAACCGACCTGCCATCTTTCCTTCGTGGCCTCGGGCAATTCTAAGAACCAAAATTTCTGCTGCAGAACGCGCGTGGGATTCAGTCCAGTCTCGCCTAGGGTGCTCGCCTTGGGCACCTGCGAGAAAATCCAGCGTTTCGTCTCTACGACAGGAGGCGCTGTGTTCTCGGGAATCCCTCAGGCCAGCCGTGAACCCGGGAACTTCAGAGCTGATCAAGACTAAAACTGGCAGTCGTTGTGCACCCTCAGCCTTGAGCTTTGAAGAAGCCTGTGAGAAACGTCCATTGCCATGAACAAGGGATCTTTTTTGCTTGTCTGAAGTTGACTTTTTAAAAAGAGTCCAAGTAGGTTGGGGGAAATGAGCTAAGAGAGAAAATTAGTTGATATTTTAATCGACTTCTTTAAGGTGCCAGGATTTTTTGTTTGTTTGTTTGTTTGTTTTTTCCTCAGAGCACTAACTTTTTGTGCACTGTAAACGCTATTGCGAAGTTGTTACAACCCATAGAAAACACTGTAGTCTCGACGTTGTAGGACAGCCAAGAGGGCGTTGGAGAATCACCCGCGGGAAGGAACAAGGAAGTTAGCACTCAAAGTCCCCGGCCAGACTGAGGAAGTTAAGCATCCGTGTACTTTACACTGGAGCTGAGGTCCCGCTGCCGATGGGAACTTTGCACAAGAGAATTGGTTGCTGACACACATTTGCACGTACATTTACACAGTGATGGGACCAACTTGTAGTCATAGAACCAGTCTGCAGTTGGGGGGGGGTTCTTGCTAAGTTCCAGGGGGGTTTAATTTCATTCTTATTCCTTTCCTCACAAAGTGATGCCCCCCTCCCTTTTTTGTTCAAAAAAGAATTGTAATCCAATGCTTTTATCTTTTTTTTTTATTTCCTCAACTGCACATCTTCACCCTCTCTGCTCCCCTGCTGACTTAAGAGATTTGTTTGGTTCAAGGATTTAACGTGATTCTCTTGCCAGATTTCAAGGAAGAAAGGTTTAAAAGAACAAAGCACGGGGGGGAAACGAGGTATCTATTTGGAAGACAAGTTAAAACACATTGCTTAAAATGAGATTAATTGCATTTTAAACTTTGCAAAACAAGAATATGTTGCAAGGTCTTAGTCACTTTAGGTTTTCTTTTATTGCTACTTAAAGAAACTTAGTGATTCTACAGGAGAGTAGAACACACACGGTCAGTCACACGCACACTCAGAAACACACTCCGTTACACATTCTCAGAAGCAAACGTCCAGTCACACTCAGACACACAAGCACTAAGTCCCAGCCTATCACCAACTCTGTCCCCAGCGTTCAGTCTCCAGTTGGTCTCTCTTCCCAGGATACGTGAGCAACCCTCTACCGAGCGGCTCTTAGGAGCCAAGAGGCTTTGCATGGAGGAAAATTTCCCAGAAACTTCAGAACTGGTTAGGAACCAAGCAAGAGCCCGATTCCTAGGCCAGCCCTCCCAGGTCGGAGACCTGACCAGGCACCACTGGCTTGGGCCTGCCCCGTCTTCAGCAATGCAGATGCGTTCCCGAGACTCGACCCTTGCTCTCCCAGCTAACTCCGGTGTTTGGGAAGATATCCCCTCCCCCTGACCTTTCCCTATCAGAAACCAGAGGGTCGCTTCCAGCTCAGTCTCCAAGCCCGCTGAAGGGGGGTGGGAGGAGGAGCCCGGGAGAGGGAGGACGCCGACTGGGATCCGCCTGCCCTATCATACAGACATCTGCTCTCAGTTCCTTCCTCTTTATGATCGCTGCAGATGACAAGGGGAGTGGAGTGGACTGAGGCGGAAAAAAAGTTATGTCATAAAGATATAAAACGGTGTTGTGACTCACCTGCTGTTAGCCGCAGGTACGAGTTTCGTGGCAGCGCCTCCGCTCTGCTAGCCAGGAGCCCGGGTCGGCCTAACGTCACTCGGCTGGGCTGACTCAGATGACCGGGTTTCTAGTGACGAGGCAGAAACTAGGGCTTTTTCCTTTTTCTAGCCTGAAGCCCCTGGGGGGGAGGGGGTCTGTATTCTCCCGTCTTCCCAGGTTGAACTTGGGGTCAGCAACGGGGGGTGGGGTGGGCAGAGAACGGGCAAAAGAGCCTGAGGGGCTCGGCACGCGGCTGCAGTCCGGATCCAGAGGGTGGCGAATGCCTCCGGGAGGGAGCTGAGGTCACCGGGCACGCACGATTGCGGAGTCGGGGCTCCGCCGCCACCGCCCCGGCCGGTCTTCGGCTGCGCGGTTCCCAACCGGAGTCCTGGCCTGCCCGCCCTGCCCCGCCTATCTTTCTTTTTTTCCCTTTCCAAAGGGGGTTACATACACACGCCCGCCCCGTTTCCCTCTTTCCCTAGCCTCCGGGCTTAAACCAATTAC